GGTTATTCAAGGACCTTGGAAGTGGAAATGATGAGCACTGAAGCTCAAGATTCATGAGTACTTCAAAGTAACGTGTTAAGTTCCTGTGTATATTTGTATTATCGAGAGCAAAAATGTATTCTGAAGTTGCTGGGCTACAAATTCAAGAATGAGAATGATCTGGTCTCTAATGTGAGAAAAAGACTAAAAGAAAAAGAAGCTTCTTGACCAATTTCGATCTTCCTAGTTTAGTTCATTTATAAAACAAATGAGTAGCAGTTTTTAGAGTAGCAGTCAAGTTTCCAATAGCAATGAGACCCATGTTCATCCAGGATCAGATTTCCAGGGTCTCATTTTAGAAACAAGCATAGCTCATATAATGTAGAGCTTAAGAGCATTCCATGACAAGCAACAGAAGCTTTGCAAACTATGGTCAAATGGGAAATTTGATGATCTTTAGCCTGAGAAATACTGAGTGGATTGTTGCTCTGTTCCCAGAACGAACTAATAGAAGTTTTCAAGACATTGTTTCATTTTTATATGTGAGGTCTTAGAAGAAACCCAATAAATGACAGACCTTTTGCTTACAATAGACCTTAAACCTCAGTGGATTTCCATGGCTTCACTTAACCACAGTGACCTGTGGTCCAAAACTGTTGACTGGAAAATTCCAGAAATAACTGATTTATAAGTTTCCAATTTCTTTCATTGAACAATATTATTACAATTATTCTATTCTCTCATTAGTTATTGAATTGTATCATTACATTTGTGCTAGTCTATTATTAGTTATTGTTAACTTCATGTGTCAAATTTAACAATTAAATTTCACCCTATGTATTATGTATAGGAAAAGAACAGTAGGTGTAGATAGGGTTCAATAATCTCTTTGGTTTCTGACAACTACTGGAGGTCATGAAACATATTCCCTTGGAGAAAAAAAGAAAATGTGTCATAATTAAAATTTTTAATTTTTTTAATTTTTAAGCATTTCATAATGTTGAAAAGTTTTAAATAACTATATATCTGTTAAGATACAGTCCCAATAACAAATGCATAGATGAAAGAAAATGAAAAAGAGTTGCAAGTAATTTTATTCTTTTCAGAAAAATTTTCACTAGGAGGCTCAGGCTGGCCTTGACTTCAAGATCATCCTGCTTCTGCCTCTGCCTCTACCTCCAGAGCCACCTGTAATCTTTGAACTTTTTTTTTCCTTGAAATGCACATGCAGTTTCAGTATTGTTTTTCCAGACTATGGTTATTAACCACCTCCCTGAAAAAAAAAAAAGAATATGTAGCTCTTTATACAAAGATGATATTGTGACTTGGAATTTGTTTTACCATTAAAAAGAAAATGGACTGTCAAGAGGGGAGGGGTTATCAAGGACCAGTGAGAATAGATACGCACACTGGGCCCGTGAGTGATCAAACCCATTCTTCACATCACTTTTACAGTACCCTATAATACTGAACTGAGTAGCTTCAACCTTGTTTAGTGTGTCAGGTCAGTTAAGAAGGATTGCTCACAACATGGTGCCCTTCAAGTACTCGCTAAATAATGTTCGTCCCCAACCAAAACTATCTCTGGGAGAAGTAGCAATGGATTTTTAAAATATATATTTTTATCTATTCTTTGAGAATTTCATGAATGTATACAATGTATTTTGATCATATGCATTCTGCTTCTCCCTTCAACTCCACCCAGAACCTTACTCCCAATGTCATGTCCCCTTTTTATAACCTACTGAGGCCAAGTAGTGCTCTCCATGCATGAACAGGAGTGGGGCCACCAACTGGAGCATGGGCAACTTAGTAGGGGCCATATCCTTGACAAAAACCAATTCTCCGTCCCCAGCAGTGAACAACTGCCAATAGTCCTTTCCTAAGGGTAGGGCTTCATTATTCACATCTGTGATGGAATTTTGACTACCTTCATCTTGTGCAGGTCTTCTGCTTCAGGGAATGGCTTTTTTTTTTTTAATTAAAGCATTGACAAGTGCTGGGGATTTTTCTGGACATTCCTTAAACTTCAAATTCTTGAATTTTCCCTGTCTAGAGCTCATCTTGGTGATTTTTGCTCAGACAGTCATTGGCTGCTCTTAGGTAATGACTAGGTTTGATTTCTTTTTATAAAGATTCTTATAAAGCTTTATTTCTGTTGGGAGGGCTTGAAGAATAAAACAGGGAAGGAGAACTGGATACCTCAGGGGTGTAACTCCATCATCTGATCTCACCATTAAGCGTTTTTGAATTTGGTTCCTCTTCACACAGTCTTAAAACATGCACCTGCCTTTTCACAGTCATTGACAAGTGGTCTCTGGAGTCCTCCTGCCTGAGTTGGAAGCCTGGATCATCTGATTACTAGTTGTGAAGGTTTAGGCAAGTTAATCATTCTGTGCCTCAGTTACCTACCTGTGCATTGAGGATAATAATGAAAAATGAGGAAAATGTTGATAAAATTAAATAATATATGCAAAGCTATTAGTGTGGGGCATACAGTAAACGTTGAATAAAATTTAGTTATTAAAAAATGTTTAAAAGGGCCCAGAATGGATTAAAGAAGGAAAGCATGGGAAACAATTTCTAGGTAAAATACAATCTAATAAATTTCTGGACAGAGTAGGATTATTTTATGGTATTTGAGTGAGGGAGGAAGAGAGAGGAAGAGAACAGAGACAGAGCCAGAGTCAGAGATAGTGAGAGACAAAGAAATAAATGGGAAGGGGATAGAGGAACTACAGATTAGGTGGTGATGGTAACAAAAGTCCTGGAGTTCAAAAACAGATGCTTTGTTTCAAGGTTGTGCTCAGAGCTGAGCCTCATGCTTGGGTGCCACCTATTTCCCCTTCTAGTGTCTGAGACCAGCTGACCTTCCCCAACTAAGCCACAAAAATCCCCATGTCATCTTACAAGGCAAAGAATCTACATTTTTCCATGACTCCTTTTTCCTTGAAAATTGTAACTTGAAAAGCTGTACAGGTTTCTCTGTCAAATTCTGGTTAAATATCTAGTCCCCCCTCCCCACATCTGCAGGGCCCCTCCAGGTTTTTTTCTGAGGAGTCAAGAAGTCCATAGCTTCCAACTAAGCTTTGTAACTAGGAAGAAAAAAAAAACAGTGATATAGCCTGGTCAGGGAAAGCTTCCTTAGACTAAGACAGTCTGGGGTCAGTTTCCCACAACCTGCATACAGCAAGCAAAACTGTATGCAAAAAAAATGTCAATTTGTGAACATGTTGTCCCTTTAACAAAGATTATCTTCAGAATTCCTTTCATTGTATTCTATGACTCCTAGGGTTGATTTCTAAAACCACGAAGCCCGTATAAAATTCCAATTGTTTTTATTAACTAGCAAACCTTCCCTTCTCTACTTATGAAATGTTAATTTTCCAGTTCTATTTAGGAAGATCCAGAGGCATTTTACTGCTCATCCAAGAAATCTTAAATTGTTTTAAAGGAACAGGATTTTGTGTGGTGGAGTTGTCAAGATCTGACTTCTTGGAAAGTGTAATTTCTGCAGTAGTATATATAATATTTGGATTAAGAAGATGATTTGATCCAGAAGAAGCAGGGTTTTTTTTTGTTTGTTTTTTTTTGTTTTTTGTTTTTTGTTTTGAGGACGTGGTGGTTGGTTTTCTCCGCAGCCCTTAACAGAGAATCTTTAAGTAGTGAGAGACTCGTTTCCTCAGACAAACTGTAGCCTTTACAGAGCTCACGGAGGCTCTGGGATTTAGGATTGTAAAGAAGTCAAACTCTGGCACTGAAACAGACACAAAATAAACAAAATCCTTCAGGATATAAGGAGAATAATCACAAAAGTTAGAAAACGAGGTCAGAATTTATAAACTAGAGGTCAGTGAGAGATACTCGCATAAATTTTCTTAGAAAAGGTGACAAAATTTCCTAATTAAAAAAAGAAACAGGGAGCAAACCCCTAATAGCGTTCTGACTTGGCTTTGGGGTGTGCAAAACACGGTATGTTAGCTCCAGGGAATGTAAACTGCTTCGTGGGGGACTTTTTCTAAAGTGCTCTTTGTAGTGCAAGAGCTTAGAATGCGGTTAATTTTACTCATTGGCTTCCTTTTCCATGTTTCAAGGGGCGACTTAAGGTTAAATCATGTTTTGCCTGAAATAAACCAATTGTCAGCCTCCTTGTGATTTGGGGGAAATGAGAGTTCACAGCTTGGGCTCCCAGGAAAAGTTTTGCAATGAATGAGCGAATGAATGAAACCCCGCTGGAATGCTGGAGACTGGAAAGCATGCAGGAAGTTTCTGGACTCCCTGAGAGCTCAAGCATCTGCAAACTTGAGACTGGGACAGGGCTGCCAACACTTCTGTCCCTCAGAACGCCGGCGCACCTGTGAACAGGTTCTGAGTGAGCAACCTGGGTCGGACACCAATTAGCCCCGGGGTATAGGAGACTGCAGACACCTCCAGGGGAATAGGACGGGACTTGCCCTTTGTGCGCTGCCCTGGGGCTCCTCTCTCCACTCCCACAAGGACATGTCCACATCTGATCCCTAATCCGGTGGACAAGCCGTTTCCTTCTCTTCCTCTATGTATTTTTGCAGTCAAAGGAGCGAGCCCTTAGCGGGGCGCGGGGGAGGAGATCAGAAAGAGAACACAGACCACTAGGAAAGTTACAAGTGTTTCTTTGGGGAAGAGATGGTGCCGGCTGTTTGGACTGTGGCAGAGCGGTGAGGCCCAGACTGAGAGCGGCGCGGAGCGGGACCGGTTTTCCGGGACTGGCAGCTGCCTGGCAAAAGTTTCCTATGGAACAGTGGCGAGGGGGAGGTGGGGTGGGGGTGGGGGTGCCTGCGCCGCCAAGGACCCGGGGGCGGGGGCGGGCGGCGAGAGGCCGGCTGGGACCGTTAGAGGCGCTCGGCACCTCCCTCGGCCCCGGGCCCCCTGGCTCGCCTCCTCGCTGCGCGGCTGCCCACCTGGCGACGTGACGCTCCACCAATCCCAGTCGAGCTGCTCCGGGCCCCATCTCCTTGCGCCGCCCCCCTCCTCACCCTGAAAGGCGCACCCTGCCCGGGCCGCACTGCGCTCTCGCAGCGGAGCACCCTTCTCACTTCTTAGTCTCCCTGACGGACTTTCCAGCTCTTCTCTCCTCTTACCCAAACTTACTTTCCCGCCTCTCAAAACTAACTTCCCTCTATCTCCCGACTCCTTTTGCCCCCCGGCTCAACCCTCCTCAAGCCCACAAACCCACCTCCCCATTCCTCTCTCCCGTCCCCTTCCTCCCTCCCCCGGACCCCCTCAGCTCTTCTTCCCCTTACACCCCAGAGCCAGTCCAGTCCGCGCGCTCCGGCGCTCCCACAGTACTCAGTCTCCTGCTCCAACTCCTCTCGAAGTCATGGCCGGACCTGGGGGCTGGAGGGACAAGGAGGTGACAGATCTAGCCCACTTGCCGGTAAGTAGAGGATCCCTGGCCTTTACCAAGGAGGTGCTCTTGTTTCCCTGGTGAGATCCCTGGGGGAGGGAGTTTATTGCCCTGGAGCTAGCTAGGCCAGGACTTCGACGGCAGAGGATGCAGGCCTGGGCAGCGCGCATGCAGAATTGGCCTCCCTTGGGTCCCAAGGCTGAGGGGAAATCCACCCAAGGCAAAGGGGCTAGGGGAGGTTGGGGTAAAAGAAGTAACAGGGGATCCTAAACTGTAGGACCTTGTTTAAATGGAGCCTGCTTTGCCACTTGGGTACCTGTCCTAGCAGGGTTCCTGGAGAGCCCAACTGCTGGCCCCCAAGTTTACTTCTTTTGCCAGCAGAGATAGTAACTCATAGGGTGACTTTTTTAAATTGATGTCCACTGGAAAATTAAAGCATCTGAGTCACACTTCTCTCACTTTGTAGTAGCAGTTTCTGAAACTTTTTCTCACCAGGAGAGCATTCAAGATTTAGTATTGCAGGAGCAAGAAGAACTCAAGTTGCTTGAGAAAGAAGTGAATTCTGCACACACCTATTAATTAAAAAACGTTTTCCTCTCATTAGCCAATCAAATTAACTCTTTCTTTGTGGTTTTGATGTGCGGGGTCTCCTTTTGCTCAATGTCCAGTTGTAATTGATTGGTGAGCTACCAAAGCCATCATAAATAGCAGAATTACTATTGTAGCAGCACCGTTTATTTCATTGGCATCTGGTTTCTGGCTGATATTGGATCCCACCCAAATCGCTTCTTCAAGTTCCCATTTTAGACTGGCATTTCTCTTGCACCCTCTCTTGAATGCGAAGGGCCCCTGGACTCTCCAAAAGGGAAATAAGCAAGGACCGTGTTGGAATGATCGCCAACCATGTGTAGTTAAGGGCAGTGGCCTCCTTGCTTCGAGATAAGCTAACTATTAACCTTGAGGTCATAGAACTTGTCAAGGTAGTCTTGAGCCTTAATTAATTTTGTGAATATTTGGCATTTAAAGATTGTTAGTAATGATAGAGATACCTGCCTCCCTCAAAAAATAAGGCAGTCCCAAAGCCTCTCTATGTAAGTGTAGGTTAAAATGGCGTGTGCTGTGAGATAAGGTCATGTATGTGGGTAATATTTTAGAAAATTGTTAACCGTTTAAAGAACATGCTTCAATACAAATATGTTGAATGACAAATATTAGAATTGCTATTGTTGGGGCAGCTTCATAAGATGAAAGGCCTTTGAAAAATAAATATTTTTCCCACCCTTCATGCACCTGAAATCTGTTCTTTTCCAGCATGCGTATACCTGAGGTTTCTGAAATATGGAGGCCTCGATTGGTGAATTCCTCTCTGAGAAGAATTTTCATATTCGCACTAAGATTTTGGTCCTATGTGAGATTATAAACCCAATGAATGAGCTCTTTCCCTCAGTATTTTTTGTGTGTGGTGGGGGACAAGGGAAAAATGCAAAACCACCCATTAGCCAACGGAAATAAACTCTCTTCTAAAAATGACCAAAAGGAGAAATGGAAAAGAGCTCATAGAAACAATAGTACAGTGAATTCCAAACCCAAGAAAGAAATGAAGAGTAAAGATTTTATTACCATAAAATATGGGGAGAAATTCCCTAGACAAACTGTCCTGCCCATGGCCTTGGAATTTAAGAATTTGGTGAGTGCCCAGGAGATGCTCGGAAAGACTGCTTTCTTTATATTGTAGTCCAGTAGAATGTTGGTGTTCTAGAGGTTGGGTGGAGTGGAGCAGGTATAGGAGAGGATAAGATTGGTTTGTAATGTTGGGGAATATAGGAAAGACAAAAGTATAGAATACCAAATGCTACGTGGTCTCATTTTACAAGCATCATGAATGGCTGAGTTTAGGAAAACTCTTAATTTTCTAAATTTTATATTAGAACTTTTTTATATTTTTCTGCATTATCAAAGTAAAGCATGCATAGTTGTCCCCTCTCTCTCTCCCTGTATCCAAATTCCAGGAACCAGCAAAAGAACAGTATGGTCTTCAGTATTTCTTTTAAGCCAAAATTTTACACATGTAAAGTCATTGTTTCTTTAGTTACTGAGATGTATGTCAGAAATTTGGAGTTTCTTTGCATTTCACTTATATCCTGAGACTATGAAATAAAAAAAAAGAGATGAAAGGACATCTAAGTTGAGTGGAGGTTCGCATTTTGACACAGAGAGAGATGACCAAGGTAAGAAAACTGCATAGGGCGGCTATTCTCAATAGGACGAATGTGAAGGTCAGAGTACTGGCATCTGTCCCTGCTAAGTGTAACAATTTGGCAACCACCAGAGAATGAGGAGAGATTCAAACCTTGGCCTGTCAAATTAAACAAAAAAGAATCTTTGTGGCTTGGGAATGGAATTGCTGAGTGTTTGCCTAGCACACACAGGCCCTGGGTTCAAGCTCTAGAATTACACAGGCAAACATTAGCACATATACAAATATTGCGGATTATAGAAATGTAATTAAATATAGGCCTAGTTTGAAACGTGCACGTTATGTGTTCTACATGGCTGGCCATTTAAATGCACACAAAGCAGACATTCTTGAGAAGACAAGTTTCCTGTGCAAATTAGGATTTAGAAAAAGGGTTGGATATTTGAGGCATTGAAATAGAAGGAACATGAGTTCAAGAGTAGTGTGGGCTAAATAGTGAGTTCCAGAACAACAAGGGCTGCAAAGCAAGAGCCTCTTTGAAAACATAAAACAACAAAAAGTGATATGAAGTTATGTGGTATTTTTAATTAGATGATAATTTACAGTAATATTTTAAACCTAATTTATTAAGAAGTGGAAGCTGAGAAAGAAAAGGGGGTTAGATTACATAATTTTCATAATTATAAACGTTATTTTGATATAATTATAAACTCTTGCATACTATCTTAGAGACATAAACTGAGAAAGCCATCAGAATTATTAACAAATAGGTCAATTCCATTCAACTGGCTTTCTTGTGTTGTTTTTTATTTATTTATTTTTTTTTTGAGATGGGCATGGTCTTTTGTAGCCTAGGCTAGCTTTTAACTATCAGTGTGAAAGATGCTGTCTGGGAACTCCCTGTTCCGCCTGCTTCTACTTCCCAAGTGCTCAGATTAAAGGTAAGGGCCACCAAATCTTCATGCTAGTTAATTAGCTGCTATAGGTTTTCCTGATTTTTAATTGAATATGCGTTTTCTACAGGAGAAAAAAGTGCAGAGCTTTGTGGTTTGAGCTTCCCTGTTGGGAAAGAGAATTGCAAAACTGTATGTGTTTATACATCTTTATGTGATAGCGTATTTTTCACTTTGCCCACAAGCAATACCTTGGGACATGTAATTATATACGTGTGAGTGTGTGTGTGTGTGTATGTGTGTGTGTGTGTTTGTATGTGTAAAATAGTAAATAAATGACACACAAATTTTATATCTCATTTTTCATTTTTATTCAGAGCAAGTTTATTCTGAACTGTAAAATTAAAAGATAGAAATCACACATGAATGACATACATGAATAATGACATATGGATACATGTGTGTGGCTAGTATGCCTGAATCACTCAGTCCCTAGGACTGGAAACTATTTCTTCATCTCCAAATCTAGATTGTCTTTCACTATGATTGTCCCTTTGCCTTATGTGCCCAGTATGGTAATGATATTCCTTGCGGCTGTGGCCTTGGTATTTGACACTGCCATGTGTAGTCCTAATCTATATTGGGGCCAGGATTAGACAGGCTTTGAGGACAGTAGTTGCAGAGGTGATCTGAAATAGTATATGATCCAAAAACTATATTTGAATTACATTAGGTTTATATTTAAATATAACCACTAGCTTTACCACAGTAAAACCTGATTTCCACATTCAGTCATGAGACGCTTCCCACTTTACCAAGTCCCATAGCTGCTGTTTGGAAGGAATTTTACCTTCAAGTTCACTAGGCTTGAAATGTTAACCACATCCTCCATTACATATAAAGTATTGCCACGAATTGCCATTGAACTTAAAATTGTTTTCTCACCCGCTTTTCCTACCTCTAGAACAAGATTTTTTTCCTATATATTATCACACACACACACACACACACACACAAACAGTGCATATGAAACAAGAATTGTATGGTGGTCTTGAAGGCTAGTCCCAAGAAATTCCATTTCTTCATTCCTTGGTATCAGCCATAGTTTTATTGAACAGACTTTGTTCGAAAGTCTCTTCCTTGACCAGTAAACACTGCCTTCTAGTGGTGCCTTTTCTTGCTTCTGCCACACCCTTAAGAAAACTAGCCATTGAGGTAATCTTTCTTCTCCTGAATTCAGAAGCTAGAAACAGTTCTCAAATTCTGATTTTCAAGGTCAGAGTGAACTCAACTAGGACTTTGACTTGTTGAAGATAATTTGGATATTTATTAAGACATGACAAATGTAAAAAATATTTGCGAAACAGTTTCTGGTTCAGATAGATGTTGACTTGGTTAGTGTTTTTTTTTTTTTTAATTTCTCTTTTTGATAAAAGATTTGGGAATTAGGGCTTCTAATTTGTTGATCTTTCATTTAACCAAATGGGTTAGCACAGTATACTGAATCCCCTCCCTCAGTTCTCCAGCTTGACATAGCAATCAGAGAAACATCTTTCCTCTGCTTTTCCTATCTTGACGGATAGGACAGAATAGAGGACCAAGTTAATATGGAGACAGTTCTCATTTTCATCTTCTAATTGTACAGTTCAGAATAAACTTTCTCCAAATAAAAATGAAAAAAGGAGATATAAAAGCTGTGTGTTGTTAATTTACTAATCAACTCTGTTTTTCCTCCATTTTCTCTCAAGTTGATAATCATTTAGTTATGAAAGATAGTAGAATTGCAATAGGGAATAACAACTCCACACAAAATGAAGAAAACAGTCTTAAAATATATGACTAGTAAGTTTGTTTGCCTTTAAAACATGAAATCTGAAAAAAATCTGAGTATAAGGTATGTATGTTATTGAAAGAACAACATTAAAGAAATTTATGACTTTGTTTAAAAATTCAGAAACACAGACTATATAGAAAGTATGGTCATTCTATAATCTCTGGTATCTTTTACATCTAAACTACAAACTTGCCTATAAAAAGAGCAGTCTACCAATAGGAAATAGTTAATATATTTGATTGTTTTAAAAAGTAACCAGGGTCTCTGAGATGGCTCAATGGGTAAATGCACTTGCAGCCAAGTCTGATGACTGGAGTTTGATCCCCGGGACCCAAATGGTGGAAGAAGAGAACCTACTCCTGCAAGTTGACTTCTGACCTCCAAATGCACCCTATTATAAGCACGTGCCCACACACATATAATATAAACAAACAAGTAAATGTAATAAATTTAGAAAGTAACCAGAGGCTATTTCTCCAAAATTTCTAATGTCTTAAATAAACTCAATGATATCCTTCAAAGAAATATCCTAAAGTAACGTCTTTTAAAGCAGAATTTTAGTAATTCCTTTCTTGCTTATCCTTTCTCCATAAGTCTTTCAGTATAACAAAGTTTTGTGGGGTTTTCTGGTGTTAAGGACGCTTTGCTATTCAAACACTAAAAACTGTCATTTTGAATAGCTTTAAAAATGTTTCGGTAGGAGTATATGCCTTGATATACTTTCTAATAATCACAACTTTATTATGATATTAATTTTTTTGGTCTTTTTGAGACAGGGTCTCCGTGTAGCCCCAGCTGTCCTGGAACTTACTATGTAGACCAGGGTGGCCTTGAACTCACAGAGATCCGCCTGCCTCTGCCTCCTGAGTGCTGGGGCTAAAGGTGTGCGCCACCTCGCCCGGCCCATGAAGTGTTTTAGGAAAGTAGGCTACTGGGTTGCTGCTTTAACATTAGTTATGTCAATCCTGGGAAACATCTGGGGTAAAATATATTTTCCTTGTAGATATTTAGACCTTGAAATTACTGAACATAATGTCTTCAATTTGCATATGTGAAAACTGAATCCAAGAGAATAAATAACTTACTGAGACATATAGTTAATTAATATCTGACCTGGGGCTAACACGCAAGTCTCCTAAATCTATATCCAGTTGTATACTTGTTGACTAAGATTACCCAAAAGTTGCAATTGTTCTATAATAGCTTTCCTAGATTACACATGTCACACCAATTTCAGGAAGTTTATAACTTTCTTCATGTCCTTTACTTACACTTGATAGTTTCTGTTTATCTTTTGTTTTTCGTTTTTATCTTGGATTTTTCACAGTGAGAAAATTGTTTTTTTATACTTTATTATTTTTATTTTATGTGTATGCACGTATTGCTTGCATGTATGTGCGTGCACCCTTGTCGTGCAAAGCCCGTGGAGAACAGAAGAGGCTGTCGGATCCCCTGGAACTGGACTTACAGGCAGTTGTTAGCTGCCATGTGGGTGCTGAGATACGAACCCAGGTCTTTTGCAAGAACAGTCAGTGTTCTTATCCGTTGAGCCATCTACCAGCCCTGAAAAAATTGTTTATAACCAGTTTAGGCATTTCTGTTTCTATTCATATCTGAATTTCCACGAGTGTGCCAATGTTTCTACCATTCCATGTATAAGCTGACATGTACTTACGGTTTATATGAGTTTTACTAAAGCTGCTGGCCTTGACTCAAACATTGATAAAATTCAAGAAACCATGTTTTTGGTGAACAGGAAGATAATGCTCATATTTCAAGGTAAGGAAACAATACTTGAGAATGAATGTGGAAAATTTGACTGTATCCATTAACGTATTTTCTTTGTTATAAAGTCATATTTGTGCAATAAAATGACGCTCAGTGGTAGAAATGTAAATGTAGGAAGGAAAACCAGCCGTGTATGCTTTTTATAGATAATAATGCTGTGATCTCTTGCTATTCATATGTAGAGAAAATATCTCTTAAGTATTTCTGTGATAAAAGCAAGTCAGTTAGACTTTGGACCTAATATGTAGTCCTCATTGGTGTATGTTAAACTATCTACCTATCTAACACTCAAGTCCATGAAATTATTTATATTTTAGTTATTTCTATTTCTATTTTAATTATTTCTGTAGTTACATTTTGAATGTGCCTCAGCATTGCATATGTATGTATTTTATAGTATGATTATACATTGCTTAATGTCCATGCTATTATTTGCCATTTATAAATGACTATTACTCAATCTAAGGATATTTTTCCATACCTCTTGTTTTGGAAAATGATGGGTTCTTTGCCAAAGACCTTGATCCCTTTGGGTTATTTTCATTTTCTCAATTCTAAAAGAACAAAGCACAATGGAATTTTCACATGAAGACTAATAGTTTTGTTCTAATTTCTACAGGATCCAACTGGAATATTCTCACTAGATAAAACCATTGGCCTTGGTACTTATGGAAGAATCTATTTGGTAAGTAGAATTGGGTTGTTTATTCACTCATAATTTCTTAATAACAACAATATTTGTGAAACCCCCACACAGCAAATGAAATAACACTAAAGCGTGGTACTTCAAATTGAGAGATGAATCAAATTAAAATAGCTCATTGGTATTTTGAAAAATACTGTTTATTAATGCAAAATGAATGAACTGGAAAATCTGTGGTAAACCAATAACTAGAATATAAGATGTTGAATTACTGGAAAAAAAAAGCTTCAATTGAAAAGAGAAAAAAATCAAATAATAGTTAACTCAAATAAAAATATCACTTATTTTACCATATATATCCATAACTCTCAGTTGTCCATATTTAACTTTAAATTGAATGTCACATTACATAATGGGACATTTCATAATTTTCTATATAAGTTAACACATGAGTCTAGACATGTGCATGATAAAATTTGCTCAAGAATCAATAATTCTAGACTTATTTAAAATGCCATTATATATTAGGCACTATGGATGTCCCAGGCTCTGTGGTATCTCTGGGCATAAAGTGACAATGAAACAATTAAGGCTCCTACTCTTCCAGGGCTTATAGGATAGAAACATGACATTAAGTGAACACAGGTGTGGAGGCTACTTCGAAGGGTCCACATACAGTATGTCAGTAAGCACACAAGAGCATAATTTCAATTGTTGACCTACTCCCTGGAAAGTGAAATCTGGTACTAGGAGAATAAACCTGAGGTATTATTGTGGAAGGTATTAATGCATTGTAGGTAGAGGTGGGGCACTCTTACCGGGTCAGAAGTACTGAAATGTTTCCCTAGCCTCATCACCTTACTCAGTTATGCTTCTCCTACACTAAAATATGGTGATAGTTTAACATTTTCCCAGTCTTATGATATATAAAATATGAGATTCCATATAAATGAAATGTTCTTTTTCCAAGGAATGCTTCTCTACATCACAATTACTGTCCCTAGGCTAAACCTTACTGTCCATTGATCACATGTCATATTTCGGTGAGTTGTGTAGAGGTGTCCTGGTGTAGGTTTAGAGGAAGCAATGTTTTTCTAACTCGGACAAGAGAGCCCTCTGCCTACCAGCACTTGCACATCTAAAGGGACATCTGCTCAGAAGGTGTTTCTTCTCTAATCATCTCCCAGCATTAGATTGAGAGCAAAGTTTTCAAACTTTGCACCAAAGTACTGGCAACAGAGAGACTGAGTAGTAGAAACAGCGCATGGCCAGGCCTTCTGAAGAGAAGGAAGCTTAGTGAGTTCAGGGAACAGAGAGTGTATCTATAAACAGTTTTGATCTTATTAATCAACAGAATTATTTGGCTATAGACCATGACAAATAGCACAGACTCGATTATATTGTTTATGTTATCCAAGTTTCATTTCATACTTGGGTAACATTCATGTAATCTCAGTTTTACCTTCTTATACATTGATTGTACACCTTATGCACAGGCAGTGAAATCCCTCTCTATGACAGACACATTTATAACATGTATGCTCTCTATATATATTTTAATTCCTGGGGTGTGTATATATAAGTGTATATGGATGTATATAACTCTTCTGACTGAGAAGAATAGAGCCTTCTCCATCATCAAATGTTGGAAAGAAGGTAAGAATTAAATAAATATTCATCAGAACTGTCATATCCTAACCAGAAGAACAATCAAAAGGATAAAATGGTAAGTTGAACAGGAGAATTTAGTTTTTTAAAACTCTGGGTTTATTTTTATCTTGTATATACTTAATGAAATTCATTTTATGGGCTTAAATATTTATATTCACATAACTATGACCCCAGAGAATATATTTTTTTTAAATTAATGACAGTCAAGGAATGCTCTTCCACTTAATTGTGTGGTATCCCAGATGGTGTGCAGTAGGTTATGATCATCATGAATTTTCCTTTTATATATGATAAAAACCTCCAACAGTACTATACTTTTCCTTATATTGAATAGACTTACTGTTTCCCGCTTTCACTATTAGCTTTATTTGGATAGTCAACTCCCTTATAACAATTAAAAATAAATGCCTTTTGTATTAATGTTCAATTTAGCCATTTATGGAATTTTCATTTCATTAAGCAGATGCAATTTTATATCTGCTATGAAGAGCTTAATTGTGAAGAATTTCATTCAATGTTTCTTATAATCTGGAGCTTCTAGTAATGAAATAATTTTTGTGAAAAGTTAATTCTTCTCCTTTATTTCTAAAAGGTATTTGCCTATATAGGATCTAGGCTGACTCTTTTTTGTCAGAAAAATAAAGATGTCACTCCACTTCACCCAGCTTACATAAGTTCTGAAAGGTGCTCTAATATTTAATTCATATTTTACTGTTTGATTTTAAGGTTTTTATCTTTTTTTGGTTTTTAGAAATTCAAATATTAAATGCATATATTTTAAATATTTTATTGTTTTGAGTATTTATTAGAAATGTGAACTAGAGACCTTTGGGCTTCTCTGAGCTTCTTGGGAATGTGGTTTGACATATTTAATTGCTTAATGTTAATTTTTGGCCTGCATCTCTTCAGATATTTCCTTTGCCCCTTTCTATTTCTTTTTTCATAAATCCAATTTCACATATGTTAGACAATCTCATATCATGACACAAGCATTGGATGCTCTCTCTTAGAGAGAGAGAGAGAGAGAGAGAGAGAGAGAGAGAGAGAGAGAATGTGTGTGTGTCTTTTCATTGTAGTTTAGGTCACTTTTTTAAAAAAGTATTTTATTTATTATTTTATGTGTATGAGTGTACTGCATGCATGTAAGTCCACCCACATCATGCAGTGCCAGCAGAGGTCAAAAGAGGGTGTCAGATCCCCTGGAGCTGGAGTTACGGGCAGTTGTTAGCTGCAATGTGGGTGCTGGGAATCCAACCCAGGTCCTCTGTAAGAGTAGCCAATGCTCTTAACCCCTGAGCTATCTCTTCATCCCCAATTTGGGTCACGTTTTTGCCCATTCATTTTTACCTACTCCTTTCTCAGCTTTTTCAAATCTTCTGATGAGATTAGTAAAGACATTCCTCAGCCCAGTTACTGTTTCATTCCTAGCCTTTCCATTTGACTTTTTTGGAGGGGTCTTTTTATGAGACAAGGTCTCCCTATAGCTCCAACTGGCCTGGAATTTAGTATATAGACCAGGCTGGCCTTGAAATCACAGAGATCCACCTGACTCTGCCTCCTGAGTGCTGGGATTAAAGACGCATGCCACTACACCTGGCTCCCTTTGACTTTTTAATGGTTAACACCTTGGCTGAAATATCCCATTTGTCCATGCATGGTTTCAACATTTTTCATTAAAGCCTTTCGCATATTGATCATAGTTTTATTCAATACTATGTGTGATAGTTTCAATATTGAAGTCCTTTCTGAATCTTTATGTTGATTTCATTGCCTCTTGAGGTTGGGCTGCTTTGTTATTTTTCATGAATTTCAATACTTCTACTTGAATGCTAGACATAATAAATAAAAAAATACAGATTGAAGTAAATGATATTGTACCTTAAAATGCACACAACAGTTATTATTGGAAAATGAGTTAATCTAAAAGGAGATACACCACACTTAGGTTATGTTATGGCAATGGTTACCCTGAGTTTTCTACCTGCTTGAGGTTCTTGTGTTACCTGGTGCTTAGTTGCAGTAGGGCTTAATTTTCTGGAGGGCTTTTATTAATATGCATACTTTTTCATCAACTTCAGACCTTCTTAGTTTGGGTATGATTTAGAGAGGTCCTCTCCCACACTGCTGCTCTTCCAATGATGGTATACACTATTGCTTCTTATTTAGTGCTTGATATACTGGTGTTGCAGAGCAGGAAGGAGTTCTCTCCTTTGTCACCCTGACTCTCAGGAGGCCTTTTGCCTCTGGCTCATGAGAATGGGAATTTCTTAGTTATTCTGTCCCTCTCCTAAGGGGTAAGACACACACACACACACACACACATAATTTTTATTTTATGTATATGAGTGTATCGCCTGCATGTGTGTAAGTATGCTCATGCCATGCAATGCCCAGGGAGGTCAGAAGAGGACATTGGATTCCCCTGGAACTGGAGTTATGGAAGATTGTTAGTCTCCATGCGGGTGCTTGGAATCATATCTGGGTCCTCTGAAAGAGCAACCAGTGCTCTTAACTGCTGAGCCATCTCTCCAATCTCAGAGAGTGAGCACATTTCTAATCGTCTGAGTCCAAAACTAATTTTTGGCCTTTCCCCAGAAATAAAGGACTTTAGTTTTATCTTTCCCTGGTTGCTGTGGATCTCCATCTGTACCCTGGAGTGAATAGGGTCAGCGGCCTTTGCTCCAAGCAAGATGTGTATTCCTTAGACATGAAAGAATTGGACCTAGCTTCCTGTGTTTCCCACTGTGGTGACTTCCCTTCAAAATATGGGCCATACATTCATGCAGAAAAGAACTTGTGTGTATCTGTAATTTTCTCTTGTGTCTGTGTTTCCAAAGGATTCTGTCCTCACAAGCAAACTCACACTTGGCTTTTTAGTAATATTGAAAAGTTCCATGATTTCTTTTTATCTGAAATATGTGTGTCTATTGTCCCTGCAGCCAAAGGTGGCAGTGTGCACATGTGCTCTCTCCTGGCAGGTGCTTGTGTTTCTTCAGACTTATGGCTCCTTGGTTGATTTGAGACCTCTCTCTTGATTCAAAAGCTGTGACTTTTGTAGATTATTTTATTTCTGTTGCAGTGATGGTAGGATTGTCACTCTCTGCGGTTTCACATCCTCACCAGAAGTGTGAAGATCATGTAAATTCCTTTTAACTGAATCTTCATTAGGTCCTACATGTATTTATAATTTATAAAAATTTGATGTGAAACTCTTCAGATTCAGAGACAAGAAATATTCTCCGCTGTTAGATTTGCAGAGCAGAAACCTCTTAAGGAATATAGATGATAACAACTTTACTTGTAACAGAAATATTTCTCTCTGCCACTATCTTTACACACTTTTACTTCACCTCAAATTAATTTCCTTCTGT